ATCAGTTGAACATTTAAATGTCACAGACTAATTTACTGTACTCCATGATCACCAGATTTAAAGCCAACAGAGATCATTGAATGTACAGCCAGCAAAGTTACAGTAACTTCATCATGCAACCAAAGACATAAAGATATTTCGGCTGATGCAACTCAGCAAAATGTCTCTCAACAGCAAACAACTGTATTTTCGGTGACGACTAAAGAAATGATGGAAACTAATTTGCTTGTGTAACCACTCTCAAAGTTGACCTTTGGCAGTTTCCTTACTGACTCCCCTCCTCTTTGCCCCCAGTCCTGGAGTTACACACAGTTATATTAGCGATCATTTTTATCTTTTCAGTAGATCCTCTGTGACCCCTCATTATGCCACTGTGTGGGTTCAATGAGTGCTGGATGAGGTCCTTCTCAGCATGCTCATATAGAGGCAGCAGTGTGTACAAGTATGCATGTTTTGTTGTGCGTATTTTAGAAGCTAGGTCATTGCATAAAATTTGAATCTGTGACCTAGTTAGTGGAATAGAAACAGTCAAAAATTGTTTTATTGGACCATTTGTTGACCAGTTGGCCTAATGTGACATTGGCTTAAATTATCATTACTTGTAATGATTTTTTAAACTTCATGCTGCTGTTCTCCACCCCAGTTTGATCCCCAAATATCTCTCTTGGGCCAGATTGTTTCAGATCTGTATATTTTAAGATGCATAGACATAGATGCATATAATGACTGGAGTCTGAACAATGTATATTTTGATTTCATTTCCATTAAGGTTTTGCTCGGTATTTTTTTTAAATTATTGGCACCATTTTGTCTTAAAGTTATATTAATCTTTCATTTTTAAATATTTGACATACTGCCAAATTGTACTCAGCATTGTTTTTTTTTTTTTCTTTTCTTAAACTGTTACGAGGCACGTGCCGCTAAGATGGCAGTGAGAGAGGTTGAGAAGCTAAGGCCTTTCCTCTGCCTACATCCCCCAGAATGCTGTGTGGTTCTGGACTGGAAGAATCTATTGGATGTATAAAATATTGACTATGGATCTATTGCAATAGGTTTTGTTATTGATGTATTCCCCAGACATTGTTTAAAGACTTCACTTAAATATGTATGCACTGATGTGTCTTCATCTAAATACATTTTGAGTATTAACCCGTCAGAAGCTAATGAGCGTAGAATATTACTGGGGTTTCATCAAACTGTTGAAAGTATCTTTAATTTCTGTAACTTTGTAATATCTGTTATTTGTATATCTTATTGCTGATATAAACATCAGCAATAAGATTTGCTGATTTGAAAAAAAAAAACAACCAAAAATAATAATAATTTAAGCAAACATAAACAGGTTCTGTGATCCTAACAAACCTAAAAAGTAAACATTTATTCTGATTTAATGTCATTCCCAAAGGGGAAAAAATGCATAAAACAATTTATTTAAGATATGTAGTTTCAGCTATATGGTCTTATACATTAATTTTTTAAGATAATAATGCAATGGAAATCCAAATAAGTGTAAATGCATTTTAAACTCAGCAATAAGATGTACAAATAACGAATATTACAATTTACTGAAAATTCTGATCTGTGTAGCTCTAAAACAAACTTTTTATCAGGTGAGAAAAAGAGGAACAGAGAACACAGTGATCATTTCCACAGCCCCAGGATTTATTATGCATTTGTTCTAGCTATAGATTCTTTCTTACATGCTTTTCCTTTCTCTCCCTCCTTATGAAAAAGATAATCTTTCTGAACAAAAGTGTAGTCTGAGTCAGGAAAGCAAAACTCTGAGTCATAACAGGGCTTTCTTTCTGTATTCTTTCTCAGCTATATACAGATCTGAAACAATCTGGCCCAAGAGAGATATTTGGGGATCAAACGGGGGTGGAAACAGCAGCATGAAGTTTAAAAAAAAGTGGGATGTGTGTACAAAAGGATTGGTGAGAAGCATGTGTGACAACCCTCTCCTCCAAATCCCCACCCACCCACTTTCCCTCACATGCCCTTACCCTGATACTGAGTCACAGAGAAAGCAGAGCAGTTCTAATGGCCTACGTAGGTCCCCTGCGCAAACGCTCAGAAACGGAAGAAAGTCTTTTTTTAAGTTGTTGAGGGGGGTGCTGGGATCTCATTAGGAAGGGATGGAAGGAAGGAGAGGAAGGCTGATTCTGCCTGTCTGCTCTTAATTGAGGAAGGTAGAAGGTTGAGGCGGTGACCCAACTCCCCTAAATAATCCTCCTCATGATAAATTCACAAGGCATCATTTTCTTAGAATGTTAGTGAAGGGATTTGAAGAGCGAAAGCACCAAGGTAAAAGGAGAAAGATAAATATGCTGGTGAGTCTGGCTATAAAAGAGCTGTGATCATTTATGTGCGTGCATGCACTCACTGTCAGTCCCAGATGCTTTCCTCTAATTGGCTTAATCTGTTCTTCTCAGTTATTATCAGGCATTATTTACATAGGCTGATAAAAGACCTAATTCCTTTACGTAGGACAATTCTCCTCTATTCCCAGTTGTGAAAAAAATTCATCCTATTTTTGATCTCACATAGTTCAATACAGAATCCATCAGCTATGCATTTTAAATTTTAAACAAAGTCAAATGCATCACTCTAGAATTGAAGAATGATGTAATGTTCTCAAATTGCAACAGTTTGACTGCTAAAAGTGTGTCAATGCTATTTAAGCATTATGCAAACATTTATGGAACGTGAATGAAATTATTTCTGAGGATGAAATGTTGACAAATATACAACGTTAAGACTGAGAATGAAAATGACAAAATACCTGATTCTCTCTGACAAAAATTCAGGTACAAAATAGGAAAGAAGAGCCGATTACAAGACAAAGGGGGTCAATGAAGGTCAGTTGCCATATTTGGCCAAGTGTGCGCTGGCAGTTCTGAAATATTTGATCTGAGATCACATTTAGTGCATGTTTCATGTTTTGTAAACAGTCTCAAATTTTACATATGTTAATGTCAAATTATCCTCCTTTACTTTCTGGATATTTTTTGGTACTTTAGCCTATTCTGGTCAGGTCTGTCGGAAGATAGTTTTAAAAACAAAACTATATCACCAGAACCTGCTTGTTTAGATCCATCATTGACTCCATAATGTACATTCAGACTTCAAGCCAAAACTTTTATTCTCAACTAAGAAAAAATAAAATAAAAAGGCTCATCCCTGCAGCAGAGATTCAACTTTAATATGTAAAAACACTGCCACTCTCAGTTGAACCAAAACAAGTTAGAGGTTTGAGAGACAGTGAAAGATGCATTCCCTTTCCCAGTCTTTACTCTCAATCTGTCGTTGCTTGCATTATTAAATATCTCATCCTTGAGTTTGCAGTTTTGTATCTGCAGTGTGACATTTTTTTACATAACAGATATTTCACCAGGCTTTTTATTTTACTTAATTAAAAAATAAATAATTTTACCTTAATTCATTTGAAGAACTAATTTACGTTCTTTACCATTCCTCAGTTTCTTTTCCTCACATGTTCTTTACAAAGTTATAACAGTCACATGCTATAAAAAGTTACAAATTAAATCTCCAGAGAAACACAAAGTCTTTGCAAGCTTTGGGATCACAAAAGCTTCTGTGAATTATACACACATTCAAACAGAAAATAAACACGAAACACAACCCTCTAATTTAGTCCCTGCTGACTTGTTTGACTTTTGAAGTATATGATTGCCTCTAGTCTATGAGCTGGTAAACATTTAAATTACCCCCTGAGGCTCCACACAGGGTGTCAGATCAGAACGACAACAAAATGTATCAGATAATTTGTGTCAGCTGCATTGGATCAACAGAAAACACATATCTAAAGAAATTTAACAATTGTGCTGCTATAATTAAGAGTTCATCTTTAGCCAATCCTGTTTACCTAAACGGCTTAATAATAAGCAATACATTTGTATTTATGTTATACTGCATTTGTATTTTAGCACTCAAAACATTCATAAGTTTAATGTATAAATCTTTTAAAGACATGTTTATAAATACTAAACACATACACATGTGACATCCAGCTTTCTCTATGCTTAATTTCTATATGAAATCAGACTCACTTGAGGAGGAAATGGTTTCATTGCAGGATTCATCACTGCAGAGCTCATTATTTGTTCAATGGTGTATGATAACTAAATTGACTGTGCTACCCCCCTGAGTAAGATTTTAAGTGATATTTTTATGGATTGGAGGTGAGAAATGTGACTTTTAAAGTCACAGATATCTCATCACTATTGGAGCCTAAACATATTAAGTACATTTGGACATTTATAAAGGAGAAATCAATTAAAAGTTCTTATCTCTTTAAAGAAACAAATCCATGCAACCACATTCTGCTCATTTGAAGTGTCTGGCAAATACATTCACACCCACACATTCCTATTTTTTTTTCCACATCACAGCAATAAATTTCATTTATCATTAGGATTTTATGTAACAGAACACAAAGCAGAGTAGAACTGAAGGGAAGGGAAATTGAACATTATTTTCAAAATCTACAGCTAATCAGAATCTGTAAACATGCATTTTCTAACCTCTCCACTTATCCTCTCTTGGTCTCGTCTTTGATAATGCCATTCTAATACATCGCTGTTTCTTTACTGACACACTGTTCATGCAGGCCATAAAACATAAAACCTTCCCAAACATGGAAGAATTTTTTGCACAGTTTGTTTTCAACATTTGCTTTTTCCTTGCCAATTTTCCATTAAAATTGGTGGAGAGCACTATTTCTAGTTGCCCGATTGGGAGATTCTGCCAATGAGGTAGATCTCTGCAGCTCCTCCAAAGTAGCACTTTGTAGTAAAGTAGCGGTGTGCTGGAATGTCTCATAAAATTCAAATGAAATCCATTGAGACTTGTTGTTGTAGCGTTAGTAAAGGTAAAATTCAGTGACGTCAAAATTTATCTTCTATATTACGCAACCAACAGCATTTAGCAATCATAAACAGATGGAGTATGCCGTTTCATAGAAAGATTGAAAAACTTACCATATTGAATGACTGTGGCAGAAATCCAGGGCAGACATAATTTGTCTGAAGAATTTTCTGGCCTCTTTTGGTGTTAACCGGCCTTTCTTCACCAAGTAGTCAAACAGTTCGCCACCAGACACATGTTCTAGCACAAGGTACCTGAGAAAGACAGAGGGGCACAGAGAACTGAGGGAGACATCTAAAGAATAGCTGAAAGAGAAACTCAGTTACAAGTATCTTATATTTCATAATAAAGTTCTCTGTTAGAGCCGTGAAGAAAATAAGTCCAAAGACCTTATGTCACTCTCAGAACTGAGGTAACATGAGTTTTTTGCAGTCTGATGTTCTAAATATGTGGGAAATTCTGATTCTTGACATTCTGTTTCACAAATACTGGTGCAAGCATATGAATTCAGGAAAGAAAGCCTACATATCCGTGTCATATTTTTTCAAAGAGTTGTTGCTGAGGTAGCCTTCGAGTCTGTGTGGTCAGACTTTTACAGAGCCAGTCTGTCATCCTGAATATATAGCTTGGCCATGGTCTGCAGCTCCGAGGGGACAGGATGAAGATAAATCTCCACTGACCCAAGAACAAAGGTTCATCTCCAGGTTGAAATCCAGCTGGCCCTAGTTCCACTCTGCTCATATGTCTCGCACAAAAAGTACTTTATTCATAACAAGCACAAGTTGAAATACAAAAAGGCTTTTTTTTTCTTTTTTTTTATTATCTACTTGGAAAAAATATGAGGTGCACATCCATCATTTCAGTTTCACTGATTACCATATGGTGCTGCAAACTGTACTGGCCACCAAGCATCATCTCCCTTTAGCCAAAAGTCTGGCTGCAGTAAATCCTCAGGAACTACAGCACATATGGCATTTACTTCTAAATAAGTAAAACGCGGTACATGTAAACAAGATATATAGACTAACCTCAGAAGCGGGGAGAATTGACATGGATGTGCATCTACATGGGGTTTAAAATTGAATACAGCACTATAGTTTATTTTTACGATCCAAGAATTGTTTTAGAACTTTATAGTGGAGGCTCGATAATTTAGTTTTGTAACAGTGAGATTGTTTTAGGTTTAAATGTAAAATGTATTGCTTAGTCAAAAGAAACTGAAGAGGTGCATAACATGCACATTCAAGATTACGGATAAAGAAAAGGCTGGTTTTCTGAAAAAATAAAGATCAAAATGTTTCTCTTTTTATTATGGGATCCACACGACAACAGTCTTGGAGAGCTCTACAAGTGTACCAAATCTCATGTCTCTACGATAAAGTAAGTGAATAGCAAAGGGTCCTTTGAAAATTGCTGGGTGGCGCCTTTGAGCCGTTTCTTGTGCGATTTTTGCGACGACCTTAAAATACAAAATCTAAAGGTCTCCGCCAAGTTTGGTGAGTTTTTGAATATGATAAAGCCTCCAAAAAGCCAATTCATTTGGAGGGAGAATCGTAATAATAAGGAACAGTACAAAAACAAAATATCATATTTATTTTTCAATTGTACAAACAAAGAAAATGGCTTACAAAATATATTGCAAACTACAGCATTTGCAACAAAAAAAATAAAATAGTTATAAATGCATAAAATGTTTTTAATTCATAATGTAAAAGGAATTTGAGGCAACCATTTTGTTGCCTGAGCTCTACAGCAGGCAACAAAAAAGTGATTCTACAAAAAACGCAAATAAGCTGAAAAAAACACACGCACAAATCAAGGGTCCTAACCTGCACTGCAGTCTCAGACGTGAGCATTTTTCATTCTTAAAGGCATAATTTATCTCAGTATCATAACATGTTTATGCATTCAACCTATAAATAAATTATTGTTGGGTTAGGTATCAAATTCTTGCCTCCTCCCATATATATAAACACCACATTAGTTTTAACAGCTTGTTGTAGGATTTGTGCCAGCAAAAATAATAAATCTTTAAAGCCCTGGGAGGGCTAAAACCAAGCACGCTGCATGCCTATCAATTAATAGCTTTCAAGTGGTGATATCCAAGCAGGAATATGAAACCATGTGAAGAGCAAAAATCGCATTAGTGATACGAGTTTATGTGTTGGAGTCTAACGCTTTGCGCAAATGTAAAGTAATTTGTCTTCTGTGATGCTACTGGTGACCAACTGTCACAAGTGATGAAGCAATGAGCAAAAAATGAGATTTTCAAAATCCAATTACTGACTTGAATTCAAATTTTCTGCATGCCATAGCCTCTAAAAAGGATGGCATGCACTGTTCATCATGCTCAATACTGTACATGACCCATAAGCTGAAGATGCGAGGAAACTGAATCTGGTTGACAAGCAATCCTTTGTAGATCAGGGGGTCTACTAACTGATGGGGTTGTCACTCAGTGCTGTTAAACATAGTTAATAGATTTAGCATCTGTGTGTAAACACAGCTGCTGCAGCGGCCTCTCCATGGCAAATGTTTCTTAATGCGGTGGTGTTGACACTGATAAGCGCATCATCGTGTTTTTATTACAGAGACTTCCCCCTTGCTATTAGCAGTCCCCCGGTGTGCGTGACCAAATAAATGCTCAACGCCAGTACTAATGGAGCATCCAAACCCTTGAAGGCAGTCACAGTTGCCCTGTGATCATAAGATAATCTGCTGCATTAAAATCGCTAGTCCCGGGAGCCCACCTGAGAGAAATTATATTGTTAAGCGAATATAACGTATAAAGTTCCTTTGAATTTTTTTAAATGTACAAGTTACATACTTTCATAGACTAAACTCCAAGAAAAGTCAGGCCTTTTTAGTCAATTTTCAAAGGACTCGTACTTAACTTAAATACTGCGAACATTTCTGCATTTAGATATGCAACCTGCAACAGTCAGCAAGACCGTTGAAAAAAGATACCAACAGATGAACAGAAGCTGAATGAATGGATATACAAACTAATGAAAGGGTGGACAGATGAACATTTCAATTTAAATACAATTTAAATACTTTATGTAACCTGAGACTGCAATAAAGGAAAATCTGAAATAAAGAAAAGACAAATGGATGGCTCCACTGACAAACAAACTGATTTATAAATGGGCAATTTTGGCTGATGCAATAGTTAGATATAGTCTGAACGCACAATATTCTTACCAAACTTTTTTTTTTCTATGTATTTAGACCTGAGAGACACTTTAAACTTCATATTTTGCCAAGATTTCTCCAGACTTTGTAGGAACCAACTGAACAAAAATGTGTAACAGAATTTTTGCAATTTATGAAAATAATACATTTATTGAAAGTTTTGACTGGGGAAATAAATTGCTCATACTTACAAGTATTTTTTATTTTCATAGACATCATGAAGCTTTAAAACATGTGGGTGTTCTATGAGCTTCAAAATAGCTATTTCTCGCTCCACCTGTAAGAGAGAAAGAGACAAATTCAGAGGGAAAAGAGCATAAGAGGATTTGATTACTGAAAAATTCAAACAGTTAAATTCCAATAAAAACATTAATAAACCCTCAATCCTTCTTCTTTGTTTTTATAAGATGAGGTCTAGCTAGTGGGTTTATCTTGAGGTTAGCTGGGAGTCATTTGTGAGGCAGATTATGAAAATCAGGAGATAGAACATATCAGTCAAAAGCTTATTTCTACCATTTATCTTCCAAGCACAAAAATAAATGTGGACCGCTTAAAAGAAGGGTAGAAACTACAATGGCTTGCAAAGGTATTTATACCTCCTTTTTGAATTGCACCACAAGATCAACATTTTATCTGTTTTATGCTAGGTAGCTGGTATCAACACAAAGTAGTAAATAATTGTGAAGTGGAAAGGTAAAATTATACATATTGCGTGTTTTCCACACATTTTTTGATGCAATTGCAGATGTAACTCTTTTAGGAAGACGTATCCATCTGGTTCCTACAAATGATATTTTGCCCAGTTTTTGGTTCAAAAAGACACAAAACTGAGTTTATCTACTCAACCTGAGCTTCGGCTAGCTTTGTTAAAACAGTAGACAAGGCTCGATATACATTCACATTTTATTTTCATGAGAAAACCCCAGTGAAACTGTAGCTGTATTATTAAAAATAAGAGACAGATCTAATACTTTTTCAATGCACCGTACATACTGAATTTTATTTTATATTCCAGTGGTGTTCTTTTGCTGTATAAGGGCCAGCTTGTTTAGACAGCAGAGCAGAGAGCAACCTGTCATAATCGGGTATTTCTGTCCACCAAGCCTGCAGCCTCTGGGTACAAAGGAGTGTAAAATGTCCAGACAGCTGCTTCAGTAGCTCCTTTATTCCACAAGTGTCTGACATATTGATTGTTCATATAAAGACAAAACAAGTCAGAACAAGCGAGGAGTCGACTCTAGACTTTATAACTTCTGAGCTTCTGAGAGATATTTTCAGTTCACTACTGAGAGGAGTGAGAGTCGAAATTCACCATAATAGAGCTGATCAGTTTGGACTTGTGTCAGCATCTCTAGAGATTGTTGTCAGCATGTTCAGCTGACACTGAAAATCAGCATGGGAAACCACTCTGACAGAAGCCACAGCTAATCCTCAGCAACCCAGCGCTCCTCCATGTTATCTGCTCACCCTACTCTTTCACATTTCAAATGGATTCTAACTTTTCCTGACAAAGATGGAGATCAAAGAACCGTGTGAATTAAAGGCTCCTCTGTCTTAACTTGATTTCATCAAAGTCAGTTTTACCATGGCTGTGACAGCCTTCACGTTGCTTTTATGTCTTCCTCACAGTTTGAGTTTTGTGGGCATTTCTGTGGAACGAAGGCAAACTTTGAGCTGTCGGCTCACCATGTCTCTGTTAAATTCCTATAAAGTTGTTTGCTTAGCTGAGTGTGAAATAAAGTCCCTCAAAAATAATTATTTTTATAACAATGTCATTTACTAATAATTGCTCCCGTCAGCTCTACCTGTGATCCATCTAGATACATAATTCATAATTATCGTCTCAAAGTTAACAACGCTCATCATCACACTTGAAAAGGTAACAAAACATGACAAGAAGAAACATAGCAGAGTATATTGTGGAAACTATGCAGGAGTTGCAGATTCTCATCTCAGGTGGGAGACCGCTACTTTGCATAAGCTCCGCAAGTATAGCTTTTGTAGAAGAGTGGCAACAAGACAACCCATATTGTTCTCTGACCTCCAAATGAAAAAGCTAAACATGAATAGAAAATGACACAGCACAGCATTTTCATCATAAAATATGTGTTTCTTTAGCATGAACAGGGAAGCTGTTTAAAGTTATAGAGAATACTAATGGAGCTAAATAAAGTGCAATACTAGAAAAAATAAATAAATAAAAAGCCCGAAAAAAAATACAGTTTTAGAGGTTAACATCCCAATTTTAATTGGTCCCATAAATAGCATAACAACCCAAAACTGTATATTGAAAACACTGTTGTAATATGACAAACTAAATTAGTTATGGATACTTTTCCAATGCTCTTCTTCTCCTACATGCTCTAATCTGTTATCTTGTTTACAACACTTTTTTTGACCTCCTATGTAGTTCTGTGTGATTTCACATCACAAGATACAACCTTTTTAAGGTACTCTTCCTTTAAGTCAAGCTCCTATCTCACAGCTCGTTGACAGACAGCTCTCCCCTGCTGAGCAATCATATTTAATCTCTCTTGAGGAAAAGCCTCACACAGGGCGAGCAAAGTAAAGCCTAAAAAGTCACAGGTGGGAATGATGTTAAATCTAAGAACAAAGCGCAGTGGGGTAAAGCGTAAATGGGGTAAAGTGGTAAATGCATAATTAACACTACCATGAAGTACCATGTAATGAAAGCACTTGGACTAATTCAAGTGCTAACTAATGAGTTCTATCAGCAGCCCTAAACTATGCCACTTTCTCACCTTAGGCTGAGGTGTGTTATTAAGAACAAGCCCTGTGCCTGGCAAGCAGTGGGGTTCCCTGCAAAGAGACTAATGCTAAGCAGGTCTCAGGCAGGGATGAGCTGCCGAAATTCCTCGTCAGGCAGCTGGCTTCCTAAGATTCCCCTCTCCAGTCTTTTGTTAATTAAAATAAGAGAAACGAGGCTCAGTGTAAAGGCTTAGGACTAAAACCGCCTCTTATTAGATTAACTGCTGATTAATGCACTAATGTAAATCTGTGAACCAGGTTTTGCTCTTTCATGTTATAAACAAAACTGTTGAATTAAACAAGAGTGATTATCCCACAGCAATTTGAAAATACAGTGACAACTCGCTTTCTATTAATTGCAAAAGGAGAGAAAAAATGTGTTGTGCTGCTGAATAAATTATTGCTCATCTCCTCCATGCATAAGACAGTGAGTAATTGCTTTCTCACTTTTTATCAGACCGCCAAATGCACACAACCACCCTCCCCAAAAGTTTTAAATTCCAGGTGGCCATATTCTGTCTTGGCCTGTATCCTGAATATAGCACACTCTTTCTCATTAAGTTTAACATCTGTGAGTGTAGGCACTTCTATTCAGCTGCCATTTTTCCAAAGCACTTCATTAGCAGACTCTTGAGCACCGATCACTCACACACACATGCAGGTGGACAGGTGGTCGGCTGAACACACCTTAGCGTTTTATCATTCTTGCCTTCTGTCTTCCTCTTATGATTTGCCACAATTTCGAATACCAATTTGATCAATCCTCCTTGACAAAACTGAGGAGGGAAAACATCATCCAAATCCAGTGGATTTGGATGGTTATTTTAGTGATTATTATGGGAAGAAGAGGAGCTTGTTAGAGAATGCGTGGATTGGGACTGACAATTCTAACTTGCACAGGGTTTCAAATTTGAGGCACATTTCTCCAGACAAAAATAGATCAGTTGGGGAGTCTTGTTGTTGAGAAAAAACCAAAGTTTTAGTATAATGCAGGGGTGGGCACTCCAGGTCCTCGAGGGCCGGTCTCCTGCAACTTTTGGATGTATCTCTACTTCAACACACCTGAGTCAAATAATGAGGTCATTAGCAGGACTCTGGAGAACTTGATTGCATTTAGGAGGTGATTCAGCTATTGGATTCAGGTGTGTTGGATCAGGGAGACAACCAAGAGTTGCAGGACACTGGCCCTCGAGGACCAGGAGTGCCCACCCCTGGTATAATGGTTGGGTGCAGAATTTAAATGCTGAATATGTCTCAAAATTAAACTTTATATCTATGTTATAACTGCTCAGTTATAGGATCAGAGGTCTTTTTTGTAGACAGTGAACATAATAACCCCAGAGAGACATTTACAATGACACTGCATTAATTTGCTTCATCAGATCCTTTAGAAAAATTACTATTTTCTTCATTTTGACCTTTAGCTTTTGCTATGACAAAAGCCCACCTAAAACTGAATTTTAGGCATGGATAATGTATTATTTTCATAAAGTCGTGTATGAAAGGCACAGGTGAGAAGAATAGGAACTTGTGGGGGACTATCAGGATAAATGAGGCAATAAAAAAAATGACGCTCCACATTCAGAGTACGAGAAACAACTTTAGCAAAGCTCCACCAGATGGCAATTGATTCCCTAAATTACAGCCTTGCACCTGAAAGACTGAATGGATGCACAAACAAATTACTGGTTAGATCATAGTGGAGATTAAAGACACAGTCAGGCAAAAAGATGTAAGGTGATTAAATTGATGCTGCATATGTCAAAGAGCGACCACACAGAGGGACCAGCCCAAAATCTCAAAGGGGAAAATATTGGATCACAGGCTCTGTCATCTCTCACTCAGCCATTATTGCACCTCGCACTGTCTCAGTCCTTTACCTCATTCACTCTCTTGCACGCAGAAGGAAAACACAGATATTTCTGTCACCTCCCCCAGGCATGCCAGTGAAAGGTCCCTTGATACTGAGATCTGAGGATCAAAGTCAACAGGGCAGCCATGTGTGTCAGAATAAAAAAAAAAAAGAAAAAATAAAACATGCGGGTGGCTTGCCAACATGGAGACCAAAGTAAATGCAAGAATAACTGGGTAGATAGAAAAAAACAAAAACAATAGGATAAACTAAGGAAGAAGGAGTGAATCTGGAAGGCTTCTCAAGAGAAAAATATGTAATTCTCAGCATTGATTAGGAATAAATGTTAAGGATTGGGAGTGAAGAGAGGCAGTGCCATCTCTATCAACCCGCCTCAAAAACCCCTTGGGTCCTACTGGCTCTTATGTAGTTAATTAATTCAACATGGTAAACGGACGCCTTTTCAGCAGGATCATAATGCAAAACAAACTTGTTTTTTAACAAGGTGATGAGCAAACAATCAAACATGCTAAGCTTGTGAACTTAAAGAAAACAAGGGATCAATTCAACAAGAGTGTCTTGAGAAAAGAAATTATACTCCATTAAATTTAGCTTATGTTTTACATGTTTAATCAATGAATCTGAAAAATGCGGTG